CCACTACACGTCCTACGAGATGCCTTCGAAATTCTCTGCTATTGAGGAAAAGCCTTTCTGAGTGTCAAGGGAAATATTGTCGGAGAATTGTAAAGAATAGCAAATATCATGCAAGAATTAACAATTCGTGAACATAAATGTCGAGTGATGCCAAATGTATGCAGCTTCTTCATATGGTACGTCAAATGGACGAGTTTCCTCGATATCAACAACAGACCATCGCTTTAAAACAGAAGAAAATCCACTCATTTGAAGAGGATATGAAGAGGTAGAAATTGAGATATAACAATAGATCGGTCGCATACTTAACAGGTGCTTTATATGGAAGATGGCAGACCATGCAGAACAAAGTGGAAATATGTTGGGAAAAGTAATAGAGATGTTAAGCACGCCACTAGAAAACAGTTTGTCGTTCTCTTTCAGATAAGTACAAACATAGCTAGTTGATTATGCGGCTGATAAACTTGGGTAGTAGTTGTCTTGAAAGAGAATCAAAGATATAATCGAATCGGACACATTTCTTGTATCTGTAGTGTGGTGTCGAGTCCAAGCTGACTATGAACACCACTACAAAGAAACACGTGCCAAATAAATCAAAAGGCGAATGCGGATTGGAACCAAGTTTATATCGTTGGCGATCTCGTGGTATCGAATGAATACCGAGATCGTGCCAAGAAAAGGTACAAGCGGGATCGGCAGGAGGAAGTTCGTGCGAACGGGGTCACGAACCGCGAAACGGCAATGGAGGATAATGGAAGAGCATTATGGCTGTCATTAGCTCAGTTAAACAAACGAGCACAGTAAGACAATCACTGGTACAACTGGTTATAATAATAATTGTTTTCATTAAATAATTCACGTTCTCTTGGTAAAAGTAGGTCACTACACATCTTTCTCATCTAGTTACCATATCAGGATTCAGTACAACAGCAGGATCCAAGATGTTTACTTGCATTTGTAATCAAAATGAGATTCATCAATGAGCTCTTTTAGTGCAGGTCGAGGTGTGAGTAGCAATATTTTTCTACTGTCCAAAGAAAATGTGATGTAATTACTATCGGTTTAAACATGATATTCTTATCACCGGATACTTTGTATGGTATTGAGATTGTCATTATCTTTCCCATGATTTTCGGTATGAGATTAGTTGAAAAGGACTAAATCTCTCATTTTTCCTTCCATATAAATATTATTTTTAAGATAATAACTTGTGTTGCAATTAAATTAACACCTCAGACTCCTTTTATCTTCATTATGCAAATATGACTGATACGTATGGATATTTGGTTATCCTTTTCACTTAATTTCGACTTCTATAAAATCACTCCAACCTATGACTCAACAAACATTTATTTTAACGTCATATCTTACTACAATAATAAGTTATTTTTTCTTAATTATGTTCTATTTTTTTTCTGTTACCAATTTGACGATACATACATAGACCTTTATTCTTGTTCTGCATTCACCAATATACTTATTAAGCTATTTGCGTATATGACGTCTCCTTTATTTCTATTTCCTTATTTTCTCCCTTTCCTACTTCAAAGTCATTCATTATTCTCCACAATTACACAGAACCTGATTTATTATTATTATTCAGTTATCACTATTTTTCCTTTTTTTCAAGTATAACAAGTACAGTGCTAACATTATTGAAACTTGTGTATTATTGCATTTTTGAAGAAACCCGAAACTGTTTTTTCACAACACTTATGTACCCATAAGACGTTCGTGAACAGTGGTAGTAAATCATAACCTCAACAGATTCTAACGTCAGAAATTGGGGAATAATGGAGTTACTGACCACCAAGCACTAGGCATTAGGGTAATGATTCAATACACCTATGTCTGACACACTGAGCATCTTGTTTGTCGCAGGTTGTTTACAATTAGAGTAAAGACAACTGTTCAATGACATTAAAGCTACTATTTGACGTTTGCATATTCAGCATCTCATATTCTTAACCTTATGTCAACTTTGCTATTCTGCTAACACAATCTACGATGTACAAATTCAGACTGTCAAGTCAAGAATAAAAGGTTGTCATCTGATAAAAGGAAATGACAAGTGAACAATTATGACAGTGACAGTGTTATTCGTGTTATAAGACACCTTACATTCCTTCGTTACATTTTTGAAATAAATACACATACTAATCTGTTATTTAATATAATATATTTCTGCAAGGGAAGATACACGCCATTTTTACAGTCATGATCTACAAATTCCAACATTTATTGTTTCGCAGTATGCATTTTAATTAAATATAATCTAAAAAAGTGAATATCAGTTCATTCGTTCAGATATACTGAGTAATCTTCAAAGTATTCTCCAAAGTGGCATCGTGTCCACGTTACACACCAGATCCAATCTCGGCATAATTGTGTTAGGAGTTTGGTCATGCTATGTATTTATGCGATGCAGCTTTTTAAGTTTGTAGTCGTTATAAAGTAGACTTGTAGAGTGCTTGGTGTGAACTATGACCTCGGGAAAACATGTACGTCTAGTTTGTTCCAAATGTCAGAGGTTTCATAGCTGTGCCCTCAGAGCAAGAGTCTGAAAAAAAGAGAGACCAAGGAGCAGCAAGGCACTTTGATATGGACGATAAACAATACTTAACATTTTGTAGTGGAACAGACGGTGTGATAAATTATTAGACTAAATTCGTATTAGTTTTTGTAGACAGAGTGAAATGTGATGAGAGGCTCCAAATGAGAAAATGCAGTAGTAAAGAACAATAAGTTGTGAGTAAGTTGGAGTAAGTTCAAATGAAGGAAGGGAAGTCAGGGTTGGAATAAGTAGGGCTGTTTGTTAGAACAGGAAGTGCATATAGAGAGTAAAGTGTTAGGAAAATTAGTAACTATATCTTTTATTGTCTGATTTTTTCATCCGATGCCTGCCACACAGTGTTAATGTAAAAGTCCGGGTTGGCATGTTATCGGTTGTCTTAGTAGAATAGCTAATCAAGAATAAGATTGGAAACATGTGTCTGAATGGTGAGCGTAGGAGAACAACCTCAATATCACGGACTGACTGATTAAATTACGAGTAACTTCTGAGACCTATTAATCGACTAATATTATCTATATATTATTATAATATAACTATTCAGTAATTAGATTATGTATATCTGTATTTCCTTTAGTATATGCTTTATTTTGACCTATAGATTATGATTATACGATTTACTGTTCTTAGGTTATGTTCAGTTTCTTAATAACTGTCTCCCACGTTCACAGCCTCTTTTCGGCTTTATTGTGTATAATTGTTATTTCCTATTTTATGATGCGATGTGGTTTGTTTGGCTGGTATGTGAATCGAATATGTCTGAAGTAAATGATTCGCATAGCGCAGGCTGTTATTCGTGTTCTGGACTCGACTAGATGGGCTAGGCGAGCAAAGCATCGATAAGGAAGCTAGGCTGATCAGACCGGTCGATCGTCATTAGTTTAATGCAGCACTGGAGTGAATGAGTCGTCTTTCGATTGGCGAAAAATTACTATCCGGATTTTAAAATCATAACACCGTCCCTCTTCATGCCGCAGCTGATCTTCAATTATATAGGATCCGTTCTACTTAGTTGTGCCTCAATACACTCTACAATTTGCTTTTGTGACTCACTTGTAGTTTGTTCAGCGATAGTTCGTTATAGTTGCAACATTTAGCTTGGGACTTTAATAAACGAATGTACATACATTTATATGCCAAGCTTTAAACGAATTGGCAGTTTTTACAGGTCATGTCACATTTTTTGTCTTCGTTCTTCGTCATTCCATTTTAATGCAACACGACTATCGCAGTGAGCTATGGAGCTTCTGCCCAGACCTAGACCATAGAGTTAATATATTCTCTTATTCATTAACTCAAACCGTTCGCATAATTTTTGGTATACATAATCTTATCACCTGTTTGATTTAATGACTAGATAACGCATTTTATTGCGAAATTTCATGGAGTTAAATTCATTCGATGAAACTGTGAGGGCAGTATTTTGTTTGAAAACCTATGTTGTTGTCTTTTGGTCATGTTTGCAAAGCATCTCATATCCCATAGGTCGTAACTAATGGTTTGTTCTTTAAAACTATATATTGTTTTTCAGCTTTGCTCATTTTACCATGATCCATCAGAATATAAGACTAAAACTAGCGTTCGTGATTGATCTACTACATCTTCAATACATTTTTTTCACCCTAGTTAATTACTTTCACTTATCCGCAGCAATTTCATTATATAAATGGTTGTCGTGAACGACTGTATGTGAGACTACAAACGAACCAGATCTAAGTTAACAGATCTTGAATTTTGACGCGAAAATCACTTGCGCACTTGGCTTAATACAATTTTAGCATTAAATATGATGTCATTTAACGATGAAATACTATGGCATATTTGAAGGAAATCAGATATATCCTGTCCTGTTATACCACACCTAATGGTCCTTACTGTACCATCATCAACTCCGATGATTAGCTCCAGATCACTCAAAATTTCGCACTTCATTTTCACAAGTGTTTGAGCATAAAAACTATTATTCTTGGGTATGAGAAATCTCGCTGTTATTATTTTGGGAAAACTTTTTTCTCTTAGTCGAATAATGTGAAATCTTACATTGTAATTCACGGGGACGAAAACAAACAACCATGCACTAGATGACCAAAAGAATTTAGCCTTTAAAACTGCGTTCCGAAAATCTAAAAGAAAGATTTGAATCTTTGATGCTAAAGATGCAGATATTTTATGGAGTGTTCTGAAATGTCTAGTTCACGATACGTTAGGTTAGTAATCATTTATATATAGATACAGAAAACTGAAGGTAGAAAATATCATATTTTGCAAGCTATTTCAAATAAAATGACGAAAAAACGTTATTTTTGAGGGATTACGTTCACTTTTCAGTGTTGAACATAAGGTGCTTGTTTTATGCGACCTCTACTCTAAGCGTTATTTTGAAAAGGTTTCCAACGACGCCGGGTCATATGTGCCGTACAGTTTATAAATGAGCATTGGAAATAAAAAATATTCTCAGATCTCTAGTTTGTAAGTTAATACTTTTTCAATGTAATTTGCACTTGTGAACGCACTTACTTCTTTCAGGTCTTTGTATTTCATGACATATTTTTCGAAACTGTTAGCGAAAGTAGGTGGAACCCAGGAAATATCAGATATCTAAAGCGAGGAAAGCTTCTTTAAATTTGTGCGTGGTTGATGACTGTAAATTCATGCGGCTGAAATGATGTGGCGCCTCTTGTCGGTAGTCTTATTAGATCTTACAACACTTTATAACATTTTATTCAATAATTCTCTAAAGTTTGACTGAACTCGATATTTCATATGAGCTCGATTTTAATTTCACCAAGTGTTTTTGTTATCTTTCGCGTGATGCACCCAGGTAAAGCTATTCCATCGGTCTCTATTAGTTGTCTTTACTTGGGAAATTTAGATTATGATAATTAGGAAGCTATATATTAATGGCTTAATTTGGTAGCTTAAGTATGTTTGTGTCGTTCACAGCAGTTTCTTCAATCCTCAACATAACTTACAGTCATATTTTTTACTGGAAATTGGGGTTGACCTGGTACATTTGAAATGCATCTATAAGACCTGCTTTTTTTATTTAAATGGTGGCTTCGGGCCTCATCATTTTACTTTCAGTGTGTATATTTGTGAAGTTTTGGCTTTTCTATGACCTTGGTTATTGAAGTGTCTGATACCGTTTATCTTTGTAAGGCGTCTCATTCATCTGTCGTTCGAGGAAAGATGCGTGACCTTATTTTCAGTTTAACCCTGGGTTTAATTAACGTTCATTAAGATATATCTGATGCATTTATGTAGTGGCACATTTCACAGTAACGAACAGAACTGATCTTGAGTGTTATTTTACATATAAATATTTTATTGTGAGCGCCCTTGGCCATGAGTCAGTCAGTCTTCATAAACCTGTTAGGTGATGAACAAGTAACTTGTTGCAAAATGCATGACGTAACTCATCTAAAATTATCTATGGTACATCGGAAAGTCTTAAGTATTGATGGCATTTGATAAAGGAGTTGCTGTATTAGTTTCAATGTTATAAACACCGAAAGTCGACTCTTTCAAAGTTTTCAATTAGAGATCTGATAAAAATTATATGATGGTCAAAGTAACAAGGTTTAATAAAAGTATCATTTTTAAGTCCATTTAGAGCTTTTGTAGTGTGGAAAAGCTTGAGGGCAATGCAGCGAAAAAATCGGGTTAAAATACATAAGTTAGTAAACGTTTTCGAAATATATGTTGAAAGACCGTACTTACGTTCCTGTGTGTTGTACGGCTGTAATCAACCTCAAGGATATCGAAATGCATATTTGAGAAATAGCTCCAAACTAAACATAATCTACCAAAAAATTGGTACCAATCGATCCTAACATTTACTATGCTATAACATGATTATTATTCAGAATAGTTATACATTACGCGTCGAGTATTTTGTCATTAGTATGGGTTTACATTGTTCCAGTCACTCGAAATTACTCAGCTAAAGTATTTTACAGGACTGGTATGTTCGAAAGCGCAAATCAGATTGTGTCCAAAAAGGATCTGAAAGTCCGTGTAGAACATGCTATTGTAAAGACTTGTATTCGTTTCTCCAGTGACCCTTACTAATTTTATGTGGTTAGCAGTTTACGCTTACCTATCTTCTCAAGACTGCATATCTTGAAGAGGTTCTGTTGAACAGCTTTTTCATACACATAGTTTCCTTTATTATCTTAAGGAGAGCAAGAACAAAGATTGGCGCACCAATCCTTTTTCTTGCCCTCTGAAAAGCTTTTGTCTACTAGTCTACATACATACAGCGTTTGTCCTCTGTGTTTTGATCTAAAACGTTGTCATTTCCACTATTTGACAACAAGCATCACAAACGCCTAAACAATATTGATGCTCTTAAATGCTCGTTGTTGGTTAGTCATTAAAATTACTGCTTCCAGGTTGTCCTCGCTCATTTACATGTAAAAAGCTTAAACTCCGAGGGATCAATTACTTGATTATATTTATCATCATAATAGGGGGAAGATGTGTTTGTTAACAGTGAAAGCTAAGAAAAAAAACAGCAGACAGCTCATGTTTTAGCGTTTATTAAAAGCGCATTTTATGATGACACTGTAATATCGTATCCAATATATTAGCATCACTTGTGTTGCTTTCTCTATTTTAGTAAATGCGATGTTTTGAATGTCGATATATGGATCTAAGTTAGGTCATCAATGTGACTTGACTGCATAAAGGAGCACCCTTGATTATAGGTTCATAATCTGCAAGATCCATTTGATTACTCTGAAATGTCAGTAAAATCAGCTATTCACTTTCTCTTGGTTTCTCGCATAGAGTATCTGAAGTGTTTACGTCTAGTTTTCGTGCTTTTAAGGCTACAAAGTAGTACGGTATAAAAGGTTGGTAACTGGTCAGTATTTAATTTTGATTAGAAGAAACTTAAGTTATGTAAAAGGCTTTTGAATTTTAGTTTTAGAGGGTTCCTTACCAATTATAGCTAAGCTGATGCACTATCGAGTACTTGACATGCAAATCTATCTCATTTGTTCCACCTTTGTAATAAACGCTTATTACGTGAAAAAGATATCATTTAGTCAGTCAACTACAACGTAGAACCAGGAACATATATGCAAGTTGCCACACCTCATTAGCACAACAAGATGAACACCAAATTCATTAGAAAATTACTTCAATGGTAGTAATATATAGAAGAAAATTTCCGTATAAGGATATAGTACAGGAAGAAAGAATTAGTTCGTAGAAAGAAAGATATGAAGTGATTTTAATCTCATAGCTTAACGGAAGACAGAGAGTGTATGCATCTACGCCATCGTGATCGGTTCTGAGCCATATCATCCAGAGTCTCCAACTATTGGTTACGATAGTCACATGGACACCAACCAAGTAGTCCGCATCTACCAACATGACTCAGACTAGAAGATGGTAACTTCAAGCACTGATGCCACGTTTTGGTTTGGCCGCCCCTAACTTTCTTCCAACCATCTCCAATACCGGATAGCATTGCACGTGGTGGTAATCGGTGTTCAGGCATACGCAACACGTGATCCAACCATCTTAGTCGATGAGGATTTACAACCTCATCGACTGATTTACCATCATTCCCTACTACCCTGTGTCTAAGTTCACTATTACTTACCCAGTGATCCCAGCAGATGCTGGCAATATTTCTAAGCCATATGTGGTCAAATACTAATAGCTTACGAGTATCTTCTTTTCTTAATGGCCGGGTTTTGTAGTCGTGAAGTTGAACAGAGTGAACTGCTGCGCAGTATACTCGTTCCTTAATTGATAGACGAATATTTTGCCTTTGCCATAGGTGACGCAAGTTCGCAGAAGCCAATAGATTTTTTCGAATCCGTGCTGAGGTTTCGTCAGGCGCCAACCCATTAGGGCTGATCAGACTTCTAAGATAAGTGATGTTGTCGACGCGTTCGACCATTTGGCTGAGGCATGCAATTTTCTGTTAAGAAATGTGACTTTGTCCACTTTACTTTCACTAATAACATGCAGAAACATCGTTTGCTGCAAGTCGAATACCATTGAGCATTTACATCTTTTGAAAATATACTTGCGCAAATAACTAGCATTTTATCGCAGGAGTGTTTGAAACAGTTTTGTCTTTTGCTGGGTCAATATTTAGGTAATGATGAAGTTAAAAGTAGGACGACAAAAACGTCATGAACGCATTTTTGATCATGGTGATTTGAACGTATGTCAATCATGTTCAGGTATTGCCTATCTTGAAATGCTATTTCAGATAGGATAAGAGTGTGTCTGAAGGTTGTTAAAAATATGACCATTTCAGGGAGATATAGACATAACCTTTCTGTAATCCGTAGTTTTCATACTCCATGGCTGTAAAAGGCAAGTGAAAGTTCTAGAATAGTTATTGAAGATTCACGTAAACTCATTTTTCAACTTCCCTTAAATCACTCGTAACCAAGTGAAGAACGAACTAACAGCAATTAATAAAAACGATTTATTGAAGTAAATGTTTGGTTCGTGAACCAAATTACTTTGAGCACTCTTGAATATTGATAAATCTAAGACTTTTCGTGATGTTTATTATGCATATCATATGATTTTAAATCGAGAATTCAGTGGGTTGTTAAACATTATCGTCAGATCATTTGATTAGTTTCCTACTCAATTAATTTCAATGTCCGATTATTGCAACCCATCTTCTATTAGTTACTGTATAACTAAAAATTAGTAATGTAATTCTGACCCAGAACGAAAAAGCACTATGGAACGATAATTGAATTTTTTCAAAAAACTGTTATCATGGTTAATCTTATTTCACTCATACCTACCTTCTATATCCCATAGCTTCCTCACTTTTCCAGTGGTTTCTCCGACTGCAGAACATGTAAATGTAGCTAATGGTCTTCTATGCAATCACATTTTTTAGGTCTTTGTAGACGTATACGTCATTATATTTTGTGGCATAAAATAGTTTATAACAGCGTTTTACTTACTGACCTATGAGGAGAAGTATCTTATGCTTAACTAGCCATTTTGATCAATGATCTTCCTCATCTAACAACTTCCATCATATTTCGCTTATACTTGTCAACTACAGTCCCATATTTTCAGAAAAATTTTAAGTTACATAGTTTTCGAAGTGCTTTGAAGGATCTTACAAAGTACACAGTATACCTACTTTAAAGATTTACTAAAAAATTAAACCACTACCAATCGAATCATTTGTTTAATTAGCCAAGTTAATTGCCTTATATTCATATTTATGGTGGTCGGTTTCTTTTTGACAAAGTGCTTGATTCTTAAAAGATACCGATATGACACCTTACTTAAATAAACTGCAGTTATTTGAAAGTTTTAGACAAGGATTCTTCTAAGATTACCCAACGGTTTCAATCCATAAAGCAATATTTTCTACCGCTCAATATGCTTTTCGAGCAGAGCTAATAAATAGCAATCTTCATCTTATGATCTGATTATCATCTAAGACTTCATTTTGAAACTCCTAAAATCTAGTTATGAATTAGGCTATTGATCTCAGGTAACATTCATCCCTTTTTATTTAAATATACGTACTCGGATAAGCAGTAAAATAGATTAGATAACTATATACTTTAATCAGACTTGTTGCTTACGGACGTAAAGCAATCAGATTAAACTTGCCAGTAGAAATGATTAGTATAAGAAACAATGATTTTTACCGTGACAGACAATACTGCCGTATTCACTCTTCTTTTTTATTTGCCTTCGAAACATTTTCCGGCGGTTAACTATTTGTAGAACTAAGGATCTAAAAAACATATGTCAAACTTCATATTAGTTGCGGATTGCTTTGTTTGATTATTTCTGTTTTCTTATAGTTAAAGAGCAGGTATTGAACTGAACTGACATATATAAGAAGTTTACTAATTTTACAATCAAATAAAATCTTTAGTTAATATGTGGTTTTATCTAGTAAAACCATTGTTTATTGTTTACTTGTAAAACAAGAGCAATTTATGTATTCGCTGATTGTGAAATAAATAAGTAAGCTTAGGTTACCGAATTCAATAGGGCTATTGTTCAAAATTGATTATAATAAATTTGTATATTTTTGAATTTATATTTTAGCAGGCCTAATGATAGAGATGTACCCCGAGCTCCTGCGCTGCCAAATAGAACTTCAGCACGTAGTTGGCATAAAAGCGAATCAAGTAGTAAAGAAATGAAGAAGTTAAGCAAAGAGCTGCCTCATGTAAAAAGTTGTGCTTCGAAATGCCAACAAAGTAATCAGAAACAATTAGTAAACATCACACCATCTGCTTGCATATCCAAGTTCTCTCTTAAATCGGTTAACGACAAAGAAATCAAGCATTTAAATTTTAATAGAATAACAAACATTCAAATTGATGTAAAACCGTCCACTACTTATACTTCAGCCGCTACAAATAATACACATAGGTTAAAACGTTCAATAATTCGAAAAGATGAAAAGGATTTTTTAAGCAGTTTTGAGAAAAAATATTCTATACACAATTATAATCCTTTAAAATTAAATAATAACTGTCATATAAGTAAACCAGATTACAAACATGCTCTTAGATTGACAACTGGCAAGTCAGAACTGGTAAAAAAGGTGTCAGTTAATCAATCTGATCATTCTAAGTGTAGTAATTATCTTTCATTAAATAGAAGTCAGTTATCTTCATGGTTATTGCAGTGTGACAATGCTTCTACGACATTACATAATAAAAAAGAAGCGATAGATTCAACTCCACGAGGATACGTCAACAGCTATTTATCTTCACAGCCTTTTATAAAACAATCAACTAATGTAGTAGTTGGGTCAGGAAAGAGCATTGATTTCAATGAGCAGAAATCAAATGGGAAAGCTAAACGTGTTTCAAATGAGTTGAATACAATCAGTTCAGGGTATTCTATAAAAAAACATAATAATCGCAATCACAAAACCTACAACAAACCAACAAACATCAATGCTTCGAAATATTATCGATGTTCAGAAATCGAGCCGAGTGAGCAGTTAATTGATAATGAATCTGATGAGAACGTAAATTCTAGTGCTGCCAAGTATTATTATATTAACTCTACAAATGTAACAGATTGGGGTAGTGTTTCTTCATCTGAATGGGGTGATGATATGTGTGTAAGTAGTTAGAAGACATTCATATTTTTATTCATTCATTAGTTTTCACAAATTTGTCTGGAGATAATTTTCACTATGAAGTAACTTAGTGAAGCGTTTTTTTTTACAGATCTGTACATAAACATAACATTGTATTTAAAACTTAGCAATGAGTCTTTTCAAAGTTTAAGTCATACACAATAAGACATAGTTCGAGTGTTTTGTTAACTTTTCGTACCAGTAACATAGCAGTAAACCTTTGTATATACTTCCTAATCACTAAACTTTTGTTGGTTATAACTGAGTAATTTTTGTCAGGCAGATAAAATATACAAATTGACATCGATCTTAGAAAATGGAGGGTTGTTTTTTAAAAGTAGCAAGCAGTTGGCTTCAGTTTAAAATTATTAGTTACATAAAATGGAATTATATTTCACAAAAACTCGTTTTTTCCCTTTCATTTTAAAAATAATCTATTCTCAAGAGAAAAAAATAAATAATGGATTTAAAATAC